AAATAATTAAATTCAGATTATCCATAAATATGTTGATTATTTATGGTCATGTTACATGTACTAATTGCATTTTAATATAATTTCTTATTATAACCATTGAATTGTAAATATATTTTAAAAGTTAATAACTTTTACATTTTTTATTAGTTTTACATATATAATATATCAAATTAATCCTCTCTTGATGAGCTTCGATTTAACATCCATATTGTATGTATAAAAAAATTATATATCTTTGTAACAATAATAAAATTGTTTTTTCATATTTATTAGAAAAAATAAAATTATTTATCAATTAATATATTTATATTTCAAGTAGTTATATGATACAAGTTTTAAAATTACTATAATATAACACATGTAAGTCGCACAAGTAACAAGTGTCATTCTAAAATATATAATAATATATATTTTTTTTGTAAAAAAGTAAATAAAATTTAAAATAATTTTTCTCATTAATTTTAAAATTTAAGAATAGTTTTTTAACAAGCACCCGTGTAATACACGGGTGTTGTACTAGTATATATATATAGGGAAATGCTATGGTACCATCCCGTCGATAGTTTTAACCGTTGGATCATCTATCTTATATTAACTATATGTGTATCCAACGGTTAAAACTATCGACGGGATGGTATCGTAACGAGACCGTAGTGTTTCTTTATATATATATATATATATATATATATATATATATATATATATATTACGTTGTTCTTTAGTAAACAAATATTTGGAGCACTAACTTCACATTTCGCGCAGGGCCTAATAATGGCTAGGACCTGCTCTGATGCTAATCTGATGCTAATTAATTTGTTTAGTAAAGATCTTATTTGAATATTAACAATTTGAGCCCAAAATGATAATTCATAATAAAAAGTTCAATATAAAAGCATTTCGAGAACAACGGATTCGGAGAATAACTTGCCAACATAAAATTTCTAAAATAACACTACAATTTGTTATTTACCAAATAATTATATTTACAAGCAAATAATATAATTCGTTAAGCAAATTAGTTATTAAATCCAGTATTCATTATTTTTTTTCCAAAATGATAGAGAATATTATAAATCAAAATGCACAAATGTGCAAATACACAGCAGCCAACAGCTGAAAAAGTGGGAGGACAGGTCAGAAGACCGCCTACAATCCCGGCTAGCATCGCTAGAAAAAAAACACTCGCAACTAAACTAACTAACAACACAATCCAGTATTCATTATTACAATCATTATTAACTAATAGCCAAACAACGTTATGTATTTGTACCTAAACCTCAACCTGCAACTTTGTAACTTTAACAATATACACTACAAGATAATGATGAAATTCCAATGGCAATTCCAATAGATATTCTAATGCTATAATTCTGGTTAGAATTTTTTAATGGATTCCAACGGAAATTCCAACAAAACTACTCCGTCGGAATGAGTTTTTGATTGGAATTTATGTTGGATTTTGACAGTTCAACAATACATTTTCCAACGGTTGAAGTATTGGTGAAAATAAAAATTCTAACAGAAATTTCTACGGTAAAAAAAGTTGGAATAATGACCATTGGAATGATGAATTTCCATCTAAATTCCAATAGAAAATTCATTCTAACGAAATAATTCCGTTGAAATTTCGTTGGAATCATTACAACGGAAAATATACCATTAGAATATCCGTTGGAATATATTACCGTCGGATTTTATGTTGTAATATGGTATTTTTTGTAGTTATATATACCACGGTTTATTTGTTATTAAAACCCCAAAAGCTCCAACGCGAGTTGCTCTATGAAAAAAAAAATGTGCACAAATATTTGAATTATGCAATTACGCCATTTATAATTAAGGAAGCAAGTTACTGTTTTCAACACGTGGTTTAGGTTGTGACTTGTGAAAGGGCTTAATTAGTAAACTAATCAATGTGAAAAGCATAAAACTTTCTCCTGGAGTCTTTGACTGATCTCTTGTTCAAGTTCAACCACAATGCGAACACGGTAAAGCGATTATACATGCATCTTTTGACTTTTCAAAGTATTAAGTCAATCTATACAGATTAGTTTAGAATGAGATTAAATTGATGCCTCATACGTTTTGTATGTTTATTTGACGGGCATTTTATACATACAGGTTGTGATAGGAAACGCAGGGGCGGACGTAAACTTTAAGAATAACGGGGAAGAGACCTACAAATTATTCCTACTAACATTTTTTATGTTTTAATCTTAACTTAGAGCATCTCCAATGCTATAAGTGTGAAAGACCATTATTTTTAACACATGTCAATTATTGATTGTAATATTAATCCACATTGGAATAATGTTAAAAGACTAAAAATTTCAATGAAACTAGTATCTCCAATGCATCAATTTGATAAAAAGTTATTTGTATAGGTGGACCAATTAAATAATTCATTGATACAAAAAAATAAAAAATTAAAACAAATATAAAGTAAATTGATGAGTCATCATGTTTAACATGGTGTTAGATATTAGAAAGTGAGTTCAACATTGTCAACATTAAATAACATCCACCTCATAATGAAAGAGTGTATGACAAGATGCATTGGAGAAAAAAAATAGAGGAACACTTTCAAAAGTTGATGATATGGATGACTTTTTATAATGTCAAAAGTTGCATTGGAGATGCTCTTAATGTCCAAGTCAAACATCACAAATTGAGCTCTTTAATATTCGAACATTAATAATCCATTAAATATATATTCACCTTAAATAAGTTTGACTATTAATTCAATTAGGTCCAATTAATTATATGGTCCACAATAATAGAATAATATATAAAATATTATTACAAATATATCATAAGCATAAATTCCACAACTTAAAATACTATTGAAGGTTAAATAATTCTAAACATTTTATTTTTATTTTTTTATATTGAAATAATTTTGTATAATAATTAATAACATGTATTTTTTTATGTTAATATAATAATACATTTACACATATAACATACTAAAAAATTCTACATGGGCCCGTGCCCCTATAAGCCCATGTGTAGATCTGCCCCTAAGGACACTGATATAGCATTCATACTAGATCTGCTGACCGATTAGAGTAATTAGCTCGGCTTCAGCCAGTTCAAGGTGGCTTTTAGCTCGATAGTGAGGTTTGACCCTATCAGGGTGTTCAGAGTAGCAGTAGACATGGTCATATGTCGGCTTGGCCCGAACCACCCCTGAGCCGGCCTGTTTAACACAGACCTTGGACCCGCCCGTGAAAAATGTTCACATAATATATATATATATATATATTTATTTTTTTTTTTTTGCACT